ACTGACTCTTAGCCTTACACTGACTCTCAGCCTTACACTGACACTTAGCCTTACACTGACACTCAGCCTTACACTGACACTTAGCCTTACACTGACACTTAGCCTTACACTGACACTTAGCCTTACACTGACACTTAGCCTTACACTGACACTTAGCCTTACACTAACACTTAGCCTTACACTGACACTTAGCCTTACACTGACTCTCAGCCTTACACTGACACTTAGCCTTACACTGACCCTTAGCCTTACACTAACACTTAGCCTTACACTGACTCTCAGCCTTACACTGAAACTCAGCCTTACACTGACACTTAGCCTTACACTGACACTTAGCCTTACACTAACACTTAGCCTTACACTGACACTTAGCCTTACACTGACTCTCAGCCTTACACTGACACTCAACCTTACACTGACCCTCAACCTTACACTGACACTCAGCCTTACACTAACACTTAGACTTACACTGACCCTCAACCTTACACTGACACTCAGCCTTACACTAACACTTAGCCTGACAATAACACATAGCCTTACACTAACACCTAGCCTCACACTTGCGCTTAGACTTACACTGACACTCAGCCTTGCACTGACACTTAGCCTTACACTGACACTTAGCCTTACACTGACACTTAGCCTTACACTGACACTAAGCCTTACACTGACACTTAGCCTTACACTAACACTTAGCCTTACACTGACCCTTAGCCTTACACTGACTCTCAGCCTTACACTGACACTTAGCCTTACACTGACCCTTAGCCTTACACTGACTCTTAGCCTTACACTGACACTCAGCCTTACACTGACCCTTAGCCTTACACTGACTCTTAGCCTTACACTGACCCTCAGCCTTACACTGACTCTTAGCCTTACACTGACTCTCAGCCTTACACTGACACTTAGCCTTACACTGACACTCAGCCTTACACTGACACTCAGCCTTACACTGACACTTAGCCTTACACTGACACTTAGCCTTACACTGACACTTAGCCTTACACTGACACTTAGCCTTACACTAACACTTAGCCTTACACTGACACTTAGCCTTACACTGACTCTCAGCCTTACACTGACACTTAGCCTTACACTGACCCTTAGCCTTACACTAACACTTAGCCTTACACTGACTCTCAGCCTTACACTGAAACTCAGCCTTACACTGACACTTAGCCTTACACTAACACTTAGCCTTACACTGACACTTAGCCTTACACTGACTCTCAGCCTTACACTGACACTCAACCTTACACTGACCCTCAACCTCACACTGACACTCAGCCTTACACTAACACTTAGCCTTACACTGACCCTCAACCTTACACTGACACTCAGCCTTACACTAACACTTAGCCTTACAATAACACATAGCCTTACACTAACACCTAGCCTCACACTTGCGCTTAGACTTACACTGACACTCAGCCTTGCACTAACACCTAGCCTTACGCTGACACTCAGCCTTGACACTGGGTTTCCTAGATACGTAAAAGTTTAACTGTCATGTTTAATAAAATTGAAAGATGTCTAGGGAATCTCCTGTTGTGTTCTGCATCTCTCCTCCCTTGAGCAAACGACATTTAATTACAGAATAAGATTTCCTTGCATGGCACGTTGAAAATAATTAGATATTTTGACAAGAAGTGGGGAAAAGTAACGTAATCCTATCTGCTGTCACGCCTTAATGTAATTTTCTTTGCATTTTGCCAAAATATATATCCGTTCTGAAACATAATATAGTTAAATGTCGAGCAGCATTAAGTGAGAATGACATATGCTTAAACAAGATATCGGAGGCAATCGTAAAAAAACCATCAAGGACAACTGATGGACAATCGCATTATTTTCTCTCAACTGCACCCACAAGGCATATCTCTATATTTCTATCCCTCTATATGTTTCCGTTGCTTATCTTCTCTAAGATACATACATAAGATATATTTCCATGTATCTTCATGGTTTATATTCTCAAAGCTGCTTACATGAAACGCATTTTCTATATCCCTCTATATTTCGCCATTGCTTATCTTCTCTAAGATGCATACATGAGATATATCACTGTATGCCTTCCGTGCTTATTTTCTCTAAGCTAAATGCATAAGATATGTCACTATTTTCATCGTTTATCTTTTCTGAGCTAAATACACAATATGTGCCTCTATAGTTCTTCATTCCGCCTGTATTAACTTCGTTAAAGACAAGGCGAGTGTTACACTTGATTAACTACAATGTGTCGACATCCAGCGTGATGTATTGGCAGGTATCATTACTGAAGCTTTACGACAAACGATGCTATTTTGTCTGTCCGTTGCTTTAACATTAAAAGTATTTCTGACTCGCTAAGTACCGTGATAAGTCGTTAAGTAGAGATACTATGAGATTCATCAGTTACATCTCCATTGATTTCTGTCAATGATTTTGTTAATAAATATATTTATAAACATAGGATTAACATGTGTTCCGACAGATAGCTGCCATGTAATGTTGACGCATCAAGTACTGTATTAATATATTATTTACTTTGACTCAAAGGTTTTTGCATTTTAAAGAAATACGTTCTCCGCATGTCTTACTTACACAAACGTTTAACACCCTTGCGTTTAGAATGAGACATGACTAATCCCCACTGTCAGTTATGAGTACACGTGTACTTTACCTTCTCCTCTGTCAAACGTAAAATTCAAAATATCCACGTTCGCCCACCAGTCAATGTGAAAACTGCAAAATCAATACAAAATCTACTTTTCTGTCAAATGAGACTGCAAAGATTTCATACACGCAACTCCCAAATGTGATACTAGAAATACTTAACACAACCCTTTGTCAAATGCGAAACTTCAAACACTTCACACAACCCCGTGTCAAATGTGAAACTTCGAATATTTCTCAGAACCTTCTGTCAAATGTGAACTTTCGAATACTTCACACAAACCTCTTTCAAATGTGGAACTTCAAATAATTCACACGACCCTCTCTAAAATGTGAAACTTCAATTCTTTACAAAAACCCTCTCTCAAATGTGAAACTTCAAATGCTTCACACAACCCTCTGTCAAATGTAAAACTTCAAATACTTTACAAAAAACCTCTCTCAATGTGAAATAACAAATACTTCACACAACCCTCTCTTAAATATGAAACTTCAAATCCTTCACACAACTCTCTGTCTAATGTGACACTTCAAATACTTCACACAATCCTCTCCCAAATGTGAAACCACAAAACCTTCACACTACCCTCTCTCAAATGTTAAACTTCAAATACTTCATACAACCCTCTCTCAAATGTGAAACTACAAATACTTCACACAACTCTCTCTTAAATATGAAACTTCAAATACTTCACACAACCTTCTGTCAAATGTGACACTACAAATACTTCACATAACCCTTTGTCAAATATGAAACTTCAAATACTTCACAAAACCCTCTGTCAAATGTGAAACTTCAAATACTTCACACAACTCTCTGTCTAATGTGAAACTTCAAATACTTCACACAACCCTCTCTCAAATGTGAAACTTCAAATACTTCACACAACCCTCTGTCAAATGTGACACTACAAATACTTCACATAACCCTTTGTCAAATATGAAACTTCAAATACTTCACACAACCTTCTGTTAAATGTGAAACTTCAAATACTTCACACAACCCTCTCTCAAATGTGAAACCACAAAACCTTCACACAACCCTCTCTCAAATGTGAAACTTCAAATACTTCACCAGCCCTCTCTCAAATGTGAAACTTCAAATATACACTATTCTTCACACAACCCTCTCTTAAATGTGAAACTTCAAATACTTCGCACAACCCTCTGTCAAATGTGAAACTTCAAATACTTGACACAACCCTCTGTCAAATGTGAAACTTCAAATGCTTGACACAACCCTCTGTCAAATGTGAAACTTCAAATGTTTTACAAAACCCTCTATCAAATGTAAAAATTCAATATCACTGTCTGCCGATGGCTTCATCCAGATGAACGTTGTTTTAGCCGATGCATCTAGACCATGAAACAAGAATTAGTTTGAAATGTCACAATTCGGTGAACCATTTTTAGGCTGCATTTGCGTCTCTGCTATAGATACAACGCACTTCCGATTGTGTACTGTAAACTGAATTCGTCAGCCACAGCGGGAGGATAAACGCTGAGCAAGACATAGCAGGTATTTAACCAGTCAGTATTTGCAGGAAACCACGACGATCTTTTGCACACCATGTGGCGATGATTTAAACATCATATGTGCTTTGTTTAATTGCGGTGCAGACAAGGATGGTACTCCTAATCTGAAACTAATACAGGGGACATCCATTGCAGGTTATTTTATTTTGCAAACCAAATGTACTTACTTTGAAATGACGGAGCGCCAAGTTACAGTGTATAAATTTCAGTATTCGTGCGCCAGGAACTAACTACTCTGACACTCTCAATGTACACTATGTAATTCCTTCTCTTGGATGCTGTTCTGTAGTAACAGAATTCAAGCAGTACACGCGCTTTCAGGTCGTGAGAAGAAAAGAAGACCAAACTGTGTTTGTTACTTCGTTAAATACTCTGCAAAAAAAGAAACGCAAAGACAGTCAAGTCGTAAATATCTGAGTGTTGCTGACATCCTTACAATATTAATATCAGCAATGGCCATTTCTGCATCGATTGGGATTGAATTGTATGGAAAGAATGAAGTACTGCAGAGGGGCGGTCGGGTAGCCTAGTGGTTAAAGCGTTCGCTCGTCACGCCGAAGACCCGGGTTCGATTCCCGACATGGGTAAAATGTGTGAAGCCCATTTCTGGTGTCCCCCGCCGTGATATTGCTGGAATATTGCTAAAAGTGGCGTAAAACCATACTCACTCACACTGCAGAAATATTTGAAAAGATGGAAAACTCGCAAAAACAGAGCTACGTCAGAGCCGGACGCCGAAACACACGCGCTAGACGACCAGCTCGAGGTGTTATTTTGATGCACCTGCATCATCGGCTGCAACGGCAATGGAGCTTGGCCACAATTGCGATGGAGACAAGTTTGGTTTAGTGACGAGTCACGTCTTATGCTTCGCCTTGAGGATGTTCGACGTCGTGTGTCCAGGCGTCGCGGTGAACGTCGCGGTGAACGAAACAGGAAGTGGACAGTTTTGGTGATGGTAGTGTGATGATGTGGGTAGCCACCTCCTTCACTGGTAGAACTGACATAGTGCAACGTCTTGGGAATGTAACGACACAACGTTACTCGGATGAGATTCTTCGACCACACGTCTATTATGAAACAAGCGAACGTCATTTGTGCAACAATACAACGCCCGACCTCACACGACCAGACGGCAAGGTCCAGCCATGGCCCTCCAGGTCTCCAGATTTAAACCGAACTGAACAAGTATGGTATACACTAGATCAACGATTGCGAGCACGCCAGCAAAAAACACGGAACCACCAAAAGTTGGCCTTAGCACTGCAGGCTGAGTGGGTGAACATTCCCCAGGCCACAATTCGGGACCTGATTACTTCCACGGTACGTCGATGCCAGTGCCCACACTAATGCTGGCCATACAAGATATTCAGAACAGGTGACCTTCACCTTAAAACTCCACAGTTCCAAGAGTGCCATATGAAACCTGGGTCACTGACAATGATGTGTGCCAATTGTGAACAATTGATTACCATCTGTTGATTATTTATATGATACATAAATTATAAATCTAAAATCACTTTTGCATTTGAAAAGTATATATAATTAACCTGTATAGTATTTACAAGGCTAATTTACTCACCACTGACCTTCCAGTTTTCCATTGATTTCTACTTGACCCACTGAGAGATAGTTTTGTATTACCGAAGGCCGACACGACCTCCAAGTACACCATCGACACACTCCCCCTGTACACCATCGACACACTCCCCCTGTACACCATCGACACACACATCCGGTACACCACCCCACACTCTCCCAGTACACCACCCCACACTCTCCCAGTACACCACCCCACACTCTCCCAGTACACCATCGACACACTCTCCCAGTACATCAACGATACTCTCTCCAGTACACCACCCAACACTCTCCCAGTACACCACCCCACACTCTCCCAGTACACCACCCCACACTCTCCCAATACACCACCCCACACTCTCCCAGTACACCACCCCACACTCTCCCAGTACACCATCGACACACTCTCCCAGTACATCAACGATACTCTCTCCAGTACACCACCCAACACTCTCCCAGTACACCACCCCACACTCTCTCCAGTACACCACCCAACACTCTCCCAGTACACCACCCCACACTCTCCCAGTACACCACCCCACGCTCTCCCAATACACCACCCCACACTCTCCCAGTACACCACCCCACACTCTCCCAGTACACCATCGACACACTCTCCCAGTACATCAACGATACTCTCTCCAGTACACCACCCAACACTCTCCCAGTACACCACCCCACACTCTCCCAGTACACCACCCCACACTCTCCCAATACACCACCCCACACTCTCCCAGTACACCACCCCACACTCTCCCAGTACACCATCGACACACTCTCCCAGTACATCAACGATACTCTCTCCAGTACACCACCCAACACTCTCCCAGTACACCATCCCACACTCTCCCAGTACACCAACGACACACTCTCCCAGTACACCATCGACACACTCTCCCAGTACACCATCGACACACTCTCCCAGTACACCACCCAACACTCGCCCAGTACACCACCCAACACTCGCCCAGTACACCACCCCACACTCTCCCAGTACACCATCGACACACTCTCCCAGTACACCACCCAACACTCGCCCAGTACACCACCCCACACTCTCCCAGTACACCATCGACACACTCTCCCAGTACACCAACGATACTCTCTCCAGTACACCACCCAATACTCTCTCCAGTACACCATCGACACACTCTCCCAGTACACCATCGATGCACTCCCCCAGTACACCAACGATACTCTCTCCGGTACACCACCCAATACTCTCGCAGTACACCACCCAACACTCGCCCAGTACACCACCCCACACTCTCCCAGTACACCATCGACACACTCTCCCAGTACACCACCCAACACTCGCCCAGTACACCACCCCACACTCTCCCAGTACACCATCGACACACTCTCCCAGTACACCACCCCACACTCTCCCAGTACACCATCGACACACTCTCCCAGTACACCAACGATACTCTCTCCAGTACACCACCCAATACTCTCTCCAGTACACCATCGACACACTCTCCCAGTACACCATCGACGCACTCCCCCAGTACACCAACGATACTCTCTCCGGTACACCACCCAATACTCTCTCCAGTACACAACCCAATACTCTCCCAGTACACCACCCAACACTCGCCCAGTACACCATCGACTTACTCTCCCAGTACACCAACGATACTCTCTCCAGTACACCAACGATACTCTCTCCAGTACACCATCGACACACTCTCCCAGTACACCAACGATACTCTCTCCAGTACACCACCCAATACTCTCCCAGTACACCATCGACACACTCTCCCAGTACACCATCGACGCACTCCCCCAGTACACCAACGATACTCTCTCCGGTACACCACCCAATACTCTCGCAGTACACCACCCAACACTCGCCCAGTACACCACCCCACACTCTCCCAGTACACCATCGACACACTCTCCCAGTACACCACCCAACACTCGCCCAGTACACCACCCCACACTCTCCCAGTACACCATCGACACACTCTCCCAGTACACCACCCCACACTCTCCCAGTACACCATCGACACACTCTCCCAGTACACCAACGATACTCTCTCCAGTACACCACCCAATACTCTCTCCAGTACACCATCGACACACTCTCCCAGTACACCATCGACGCACTCCCCCAGTACACCAACGATACTCTCTCCGGTACACCACCCAATACTCTCTCCAGTACACAACCCAATACTCTCCCAGTACACCACCCAACACTCGCCCAGTACACCATCGACTTACTCTCCCAGTACACCAACGATACTCTCTCCAGTACACCACCACACACTCTCCCAGTACACCAACGATACTCTCTCCAGTACACCACCCAACGCTCTCCCAGTACACCATCGACACACTCTCCCATAACACCACCCTACACTCGCCCAGTACACCATCGACACACTCTCCCAGTACACCAACGATACTCTCTCCAGTACACCACCCAGCACTCTCCCAGTACACCACCCAACACTCTCCCAGTACACCACCCCACACTCTCCCAGTACACCATCGACACACTCTCCCAGTACACCAACGATACTCTCACCAACGCTCTCCCAGTACACCATCGACACACTCGCCCAGTACACCACCCCACACTCTCTCAGTACACCATCGACACACTCTCCCAGTACACCAACGACACGCTCCCCCAGTACACCAACGATACTCTCTCCAGTACACCACCCAATACTCTCGCAGTACACCACTCCACACTCTCCCAGTACACCACCCCACACTCTCCCAGTACACCATCGACACACTCTCCCAGTACACCACTCCACACTCGCCCAGTACACCACCCCACACTCTCCCAGTACACCATCGACACACTCGCCCAGTACACCACCCCACACTCTCCCAGTACACCACCCCACACTCTCCCAGTACACCATCGACACACTCTCCCAGTTCACCACCCCACACTCTCCCAGTACACCATCGACACACTCGCCCAGTACACCACCCCACACTCGCCCAGTACACCACCCCACACTCGCCCAGTACACCACCCCACACTCGCCCAGTACACCACGCAACATTCTCGCAGTACAGCATCGACACACTCTCCCAGTACACCACCCCACACTCGCCCAGTGCACCACCCCACACTCGCCCAGTACACCACCCCACACTCGCCCAGTACACCACCCCACACTCGCCCTGTACACCACCCAACATTCTCCTAGTACACCACCTAACACTCGCCCAGTACACCACCCCACAATCTCCCAGTACACCACCCCACACTCTCCCAGTACACCATCGACACACTCTCCCAGTACACCAACGATACTCTCTCCAGTACACCACCCAATACTCTCTCCAGTACACCATCGACACACTCTCCCAGTACACCCTCGACGCACTCCCCCAGTACACCAACGATACTCTCTCCGGTACACCACCCAATACTCTCTCCAGTACACAACCCAATACTCTCCCAGTACACCACCCCACACTCGCCCAGTACACCATCGACTTACTCTCCCAGTACACCAACGATACTCTCTCCAGTACACCACCCAGCACTCTCCCAGTACACCACCCAACACTCTCCCAGTACACCACCCACACTCTCCCAGTACATCATCGACACACTCTCCCAGTACACCAACGATACTCTCACCAACGCTCTCCCAGTACATCATCGACACACTCTCCCAGTACACCAACGATACTCTCTCCAGTACACCACCCAACGCTCTCCCAGTACACCATCGACACACTCGCCCAGTACACCACCCCACACTCTCCCAGTACACCATCGACACACTCTCCCAGTACACCAACGATACTCTCTCCAGTACACCACCCAATACTCTCTCCAGTACACCATCGACACACTCTCCCAGTACACCATCGACGCACACCCCCAGTACACCAACGATACTCTCTCCGGTACACCACCCAATACTCTCTCCAGTACACAACCCAATACTCTCCCAGTACACAACCCCACACTCGCCCAGTACACCATCGACTTACTCTCCCAGTACACCAACGATACTCTCTCCAGTACACCACCCAGCACTCTCCCAGTACACCACCCAACACTCTCCCAGTACACCACCCCACACTCTCCCAGTACATCATCGACACACTCTCCCAGTACACCAACGATACTCTCACCAACGCTCTCCCAGTACATCATCGACACACTCTCCCAGTACACCAACGATACTCTCTCCAGTACACCACCCAACGCTCTCCCAGTACACCATCGACACACTCGCCCAGTACACCACCCCACACTCTCTCAGTACACCATCGACACACTCTCCCAGTACACCAACGACACACTCCCCCAGTACACCAACGATACTCTCTCCAGTACACCACCCAATACTCTCGCAGTACACCACTCCACACTCGCCCAGTACACCACCCCACACTCTCCCAGTACACCATCGACACACTCTCCCAGTACACCACTCCACACTCGCCCAGTACACCACCCGACACTCTCCCAGTACACCATCGACACACTCTCCCAGTTCACCACCCCACACTCTCCCAGTACACCATCGACACACTCGCCCAGTACACCACCCCACACTCGCCCAGTACACCACCCCACACTCGCCCAGTACACCACGCAACATTCTCGCAGTACAGCATCGACACACTCTCCCAGTACACCACCCAACACTCGCCCAGTGCACCACCCCACACTCGCCCAGTACACCACCCCACACTCGCCCAGTACACCACCCCACACTCGCCCTGTACACCACCCAACATTCTCCTAGTACACCACCTAACACTCGCCCAGTACACCACCCCACAATCTCCCAGTACACCATCGACACACTCTCCCAGTACCCCATCGACACACTCTCCCAGTACAGCATCGCACACTCTCCCAGAACACCAACAGTACTCTCTCCCAGTACACCACCCCACACTCTCCCAGTACACCTCCACACTCCCTCCCAGTACAACAGCGACACACTATCCCAGTACACACACCCACACTCTCCTCGTACACCACCGACACACTCTCCTAGTAGATCTCCACACACTCTCCCAGTACACCACCCCAAAACAATCTCCCAGTACACTACCGACGCATTCTCCCAGGACACCTCCACACTCTCCCAGTACAGCATTGCACACTCTCCCAGTACAGCATTGCACACTCTCCCAGAACACCAACAGTACTCTCTCCCAGTACACACACCCACACTCTCCTCGTACACCTCCACACTCTCTCCCAATAGATCTCCACACACTCTCCCAGTACACCACCCCAAAACAATCTCCCAGTACACTACCGACGCATTCTCCCAGGACACCTCCACACTCTCCCAGTACAGCATTGCACACTCTCCCAGTACAGCATTGCACACTCTCCCAGAACACCAACAGTACTCTCTCCCAGTACACACACCCACACTCTCCTCGTACACCTCCACACTCTCTCCCAATAGATCTCCACACACTCTCCCAGTACACCACCCCAAAACAATCTCCCAGTACACTACCGACGCATTCTCCCAGGACACCTCCACACTCTCCCAGTACAGCACCCAACGAGACTTGTCCCTGCATTGACACAGGGTCTTCTTCTTGCTGTGTGTACCAGAGAGGCAGAGATGTGTAGCCTCTGCCACAGTCAATGTAACCATTCAGGAATAGAGACAGAGATGAATTACTTCTGTTAAAGTCACTGTATTTCCTAATTTCATCATTTAATCTAGTTTACTGAGCAATCGATCGTCATACAAGTCAATCAGCTGGCACTGACTGATAAACCGCATTGATCCGGCGTCCTAAGAAGGTGACATTAAACTAAGGGAACGTTAAACTTAGATATGTTACAACATAGAAACGATTCCACGTTTCTATTCTAGGACAATGAAAGGTAGTTTCATGTCGCTCCAGTGTAACTGGTTTTGGTGTGAGCGATCCAGTCACTTCACTCAGAAAGCTGTCCAACACGGTGAACGGCTCGAGAAGCCTGGCTAACTCGATAACGCTCACCTTCACACAACACGTGGCGCGGGGGTGAGGATGGGACGCGCTGGGAGACAATAGCAGAGCTCGCCAACTGTCTTTACAACGTTATCCATTTGTGTTTGCAGAACTTAAAGCAGATATGGAAACGGTCGTGGGTGTGAGGTTCCCTATTGGTCAGAATTGTCTTTGAAAGTCAGGCCGAGCTAGTGAAACTTGGCAGACCTTCACGACAGTTGAAGACGCGGCAGCTTGATTCATCCTTTGTAAGGTAAGTGATGCTATTGTTTCAGATGCTGAAGAGAGGTGGAGTTGTCATCTCACACTTTTGTGCGAAAGTAAATGCAACTTGGTCACACAATAATATAGGATTTATACACGTAGCGTCGAAAACACAAATTGGAAAAACAAGTGTTCCATAGTTCAAAATAAGTGTAAAGAACTAGACTTATTGACTATTCTAATTAGAACTCATTCGTTGATTATGACGGGGAAACTAATCGTTTTCCGAAAGTTTAGATAGATGAACCACCGTATTGTATCGGGTGTACTTCTAACGTCATACGGGTGGGATAGCCTAGTGGTTGAAGCGTTCGTTCATCACACCGAAGACCCGGGTTCGATACCCCACATGTGTGAATGCACTGTAGTATTTACTTCCTTCACAATCTTTAGACAATTGCCATGTTTATCGAAAACAATGAATGAATAGGTTGTAAATACCCATCTTGCATCAGAACAATTAACGACATTCCATGGAAATGATTTACCAAAACATTCTTATCCTTATTATTACATCTGTATGCCGTGTAAAGGTAAAGGAAGCAGAATAATATGGTATCGAGGACTTCATACAAAGTGTCAAATACTGCATACATAGTATCAAGTACTGCACACATAGCATCAGTTACTGTTATCATGTGAAGTACTGCCAAAAAGTATCAAAAACATCGTTCATAGTATCAATGCAAATTTTAATTCAAACAGACCGATTCAGACAGAAGAGTAAACTGTACACTGCAGGGTCATATCACAAATAAATGCATATGATTTATTGAAGTACATTTCTGCACGTGAAGGCATACTTGAAATATAACATTACAGATTTAGTATCTTGATATTTTATGATCGTCATGAGGTGACTAATTTGTGGAAAGAAGGTCGAAAAATATATTTATTTGGTATGTATTGTTTTCGAATGTCTTTGAACATATAAAGGTGAAATGATACAGATCTTCGATATTGTTCAGGTCACAATATGTACAATTTCATATTTCGGAATTCTTTGGTGTCCCCCGGTATCAATATTAAACCTTGCACATCCATCTCTAGCACAGCAAAATCGCTGGCAAATTTACACAAGGTCGCGTCTGTTAAATATGTCTCTGCTTCTATCTTAAAATAGTGTATAACACTCATAAGAAGCACTAGATGATACAACATTAGTCCATTCCTGGCTGTACCTATACAGTAAACCCGCCGTCATATAGCTGGAATATTGCTGAGTGCGGCGTTAAACAACAAAGCAACCAACTATACAGTAAACTACGGTTATAACGAACTCAAACTTTAGTTCGTTATAACCGTAGTTCGTTATAAGCTCATATACAGCAAATAAACAACTAATGGCCGGGACTAAAAATAAGTTCGTTATATCAGTCAGTTCGTTATAAGCGTGTTCGTTATAACCGTAGTTTACTGTATTTCAGTCTGGATAAGAAAACTAACTACACATGCAACATCTTAGTAAATTCACCATGGCCTGAACTGAATAGAATGTGTAACATTCCTTTCCTATTTATGTCTACCTACTGAATCAAGATAAAATAACGTTTCGTATGCCGTATGGGGTCTGTCAGTTGGCATACGAAGTAGGTTTAGCCAGTATTTAATGCGTGTCACCGATCTGTTTATAAACAATGGTTGCAGTCCATATTCACCTCAAGTCATTACATTGGGAGTGTTCATACATGTGTCATGAAGGATTAACATATTTTCTTAATCATATATTTTGAAAATTGTTCCAAGATGGATTTATCCATATGTCCAAACCAACTATAAAACATCGGGCAGTGACTTTTCCCCATGTGGTACTGCTGCTGAAGTTAAGGATAGATTCATCAATTGGTCCAAGGTATTTGTATTCTGAAACAACTTCTACAGTTTCATTACGAGGATACCATTTCTCCAACAGTTGAAAAATTCCACCTTTACGGACAAAAAACAATTATCTTAGTTTTTGATAGGTTGACATTTATCTTCCTTGCTCAACAGTACTAAAATAGAATATTCAGTTATAAAAATAACGTCAGCAGCAAACATCTATAGAATCAAATCTTGTAAAACAGGGAATAACTTGATGTACTCTTCTTCGACTTATATAAGCCAACGCATTATTAAAAAGTTAAAATAAGATAGGGCTTAATATATAGCCCTGGTTAAGTCCAATAGAGCAATCAAAACATTCACTGAAGCAACCTTCACGCTGTGCACATGCTAAAATATAGACACACAAAGATACACATGGAACCACGGACTGAATCATATTCATCATTTTAACATGAAGACAACATTTTTGGAGAACATACGTCAGTGGGTTTTTTTCTATATGCAGAATCAAAGTCCTCAAAGACAACATAGACTCTACCTTTACATTCTTTCATTATATTTATATACAGGCAGAAGGTGTGAAAAAGTTATCCGTTGTCGCGTATCCGGGCCGATCACCCGCTTGTTCTTCATCACAATTTGGTATTATTTTTGGCATATAATTTAACTTACAATTAATTACGGTTGCAAATATCTTTCCGAATACAATATCTAAATTTATACTCCTGTGATTATTAGGATCATCTCAGGGGCCATTTTTAAATTGGCACTATTATACCTTTACCCCAAGAACGTGGGAACTGGCCTGCTAAGTAAATCCAGCGGTGGGGCAGGATACGTTCACTTGGTAACATTACTATTTGATAGTGATACTTAAACACATCCTCATGATACAGTCGGAATAGTACAATCGAGATTTCTATTGGATATGAAAAGGGTTTTGTGACCGCTTTATCATTATTGTTATTATTTACAGATTAAAATGTAAAAATGCAGCAAAGAGGGTTTGGGTGATCCTGGCACAGTCAGGCTGGTTAGGCTCATCATCAGCTCAGGGCCGGTGCCCCCTCAACACGCAGGCCAGACAGCGAATGGGACTTCTCCCAGGAAGCGCTGCCTAGTCAAACCCACCCAGACATTTTCGGAGAATGTGAAGACTCCCCAACATTTCAGCCTTCTGCATTATCAAGATTGTCAGAAGGGTTGTATTCCTGGTAGCAAACCCGGGTACTCTCCCAATGTCAGTCAACAGATTGGGGGTACCAAACCTATGGTACCAAGAACAATGGGGAGTCGGACAACTTGGTGCTTGGGTTGAAAGCGTGACATTTCGAAATATTTGCCATGGTTTTCCTGAATCTTGTCAATCACATTAGCCCAAAAAATGGACGGAAAATTCAATGATATGAATGATTTCATTGGATTTATGAAAAGGACAAGATCAGGTTTGTTGGCCTGGATACGACTGACGCTGTAAACGGGCCTATTCCCAAAAAATTGTATTTATCATTTTCCATGATGCCCTCTACATGTTCTGGATCGTACCATGGATGGGCCTCTTTGTCAAAACAACAAGCACTGCGAAGACGGTAATAAAATGATCGAGCTACACCATCATGTCGTTTAAGATACTGTGCTTGTGGCAAAGCTGGGCATCCACTGACAATTTGTTGGACAATCCAAT